CCGGCCTCAGCCCGGCTCCTCCGGGGCCCCTCCCCCTCGGAGGCCTTTTGTTTCTTTATTTCTTTTCCCCGTCTTCCTACCTTGATAGAAGCGTGAACTCCTCTCACTGTAGCATTCCAGCTGGTCTCTCTTTAAATCTCAGGCCGAATTCGTAGATTTTCAGGATGGTTTGAAGGTTATCTAGGGAATTTGGTGGGAACAGGTGATTTGGGGACCCTACTCCTCCGCCATCTTGCCCCTCCTCCACATATCATTCTCAATGAGGAAAAATTAAGAACTTTCCCCTAAGATCAGGAACACACAACACAGGGATGTTCACTCTCACCACTGCTATTCAACATAGTACTAGAAGTCCCAGCTTCAGCAATCAGACAACAAAAAGAAATAAAAGGCATTCAAATTGACAAAGAAGAAGTTAAACTCTCTCTCTCTTTGCAGATGACATTATACTATACGTAGAAAACCCAAAAGACTCCACCCGAAGATTGCTAGAACTCATACAGCAATTCGGCAGCGTGGCAGAATTCAAAATCAATGCCAGAAATCAGTGGCATTTCCATACACTAACAATGAGACTGAAGAAAGAGAAATTAAGGAGTCAATCCTATTTACAATTGCACCCAAAGCAGAAGATATCTAGGAATATACCTAACAAGAGAGGTAAAGTGTCTATACCCTATAAAGTACAAAACACTTCTGAAAGAAATTGAGGAACACACAAAGAGATGGAAAAATATTCCGTACTCATGGAATGGAAGAAATAATATTGTGAAAACGTCTATGCCACCCAGGGCAATTTACACGTTCAATACAACCCCTCTCAAAGTACCATGGGCTTTCTTCAGAGAGTTGAAACAAATCATCTTAAGATTTGTGGATGGAACTGGAGGGTATTATGCTGAGTGAAATAATTCAATCGGAGAAGGACATACATTTTATGGTCTCATTCATTTGGGGAATATAAAAATAGTGAAAGGGAATAAAGGGGAAAGGAGAAAAATGAGTGGGAAATATCAGAAAGGCAGACAGAACATGAGAGACTCCTAACTCTGGGAATGAACTAAGGGTGGTGGAGGGGAGCTGGGCAGGGGGTGGGGGTGACTGGGTGACGGGCACTGAGGGAGGTACTTGATGGGATGAGCACTGGGTGTTATTCTATATGTTGGCAAATTGAACACCAATAAAAATAAATTTAAAAAACAAAAAGAAAGATTTGTGTGCAGTCAGAAAAGACTGAATAGCCAGGGGAATATTGAAAAAGAAAACCAGTGAAATTGGTGGTCTGGGGGTAGTTCTGATTTTACCTCTTTGAGGAATCTCCACAGTTTTCCAGAGTGGCTGTACTACCAGTTCACATTCCCACCAACAGTGCAAGAGGGTTCTCCTTTCTCGACATCCTCTCCAACATTTGTTGTTTCCTGCCTTGTTAATTTTCCCCATCCTCACTGGTGTGAGGTGGTATCTCATTGTGGTTTTGATTTGTATTTCCCTGATGGCAAGTGATACAGAGCATTTTCTCATGTGCTTGTTGGCCATGTGTAGGTCTTCTTTTTTTATTATTTTTTATTGGAGTTAAATTTGCCAACATATAGCATAACACCCAGTGCTCATCCCATCAAGTGCTCCCTCAGTGCCCATCACCCAGTCACCCCAACTCCCCGCCCACCTCCCCTTCCACCACCCCTAGTTCGTTTCCCAGAGTTAGGAGTCTCTCATGTTCTCTCCCTTTCTGATATTTCCCACTCATTTTTTCTCCTTCCCCTTTATTCCCTTTCACTAATTTTTATATTTCCCAAATGAATGAGACCATATAATGTTTGTCCTTTTCTGACTGACTAATTTCACTCAACATAATACCCTCCAGTTCCATCCACATCGAAGCAAATGGTGGGTATTTGTCGTTTCTAATGGCTGAGTAATATTCCATTGTATACATAAACCACATCTTCTTTATCCATTCATCTTTCGATGGACACTGAGGCTCCTTCCAGAGTTTGGCTATTGTGGACATTGCTGCTATAAACATTGGGGTGCAGGTGTCCCGGCGTTTCATTGCATCTGTATCTTTGGGGTAAATCCCCAGCAGTGCAATTGCTGGTCGTAGGGCAGATCTATTAAGAGCTCTTTGCGGAACCTCCACACAGTTTTCCAGAGTGGCTGCACCAGTTCACATTCCCACCAACAGTGCAGGAGGGTTCCCCTTTCTCCACATCCTCTCCAGTATTTGTTGTTTCCCGTCTTGTTTATTTTCCCCATTCTCACTGGTGTGAGGTGGTATTTCATTGTGGTTTTGATTTGTATTTCCCTGATGGCAAGTGATGCAGAGCATTTTTTCATGTGCGTGTTGGCCATGTCTATGTCTTCCTCTGTGAGATTTCTGTTCATGCCTTTTGTCCATTTCATGATTGGATTGTTTGTTTCTTTGCTGTTGAGTTTAATAAGTTCTTTATAGATCTTGGATACTAGCCCTTTATCTGATACGTCATTTGCAAATATCTTCCTTCATTCTGTAGGTTGTATTTTAGTTTTCTTGACTGTTTCTCTTTTTTAAATAAATTTATTTTTTATTGGTGTTCAATTTGTCAACATACAGAATAACACCCAGTGCTCATCCCGTAAGTGCCCACCTCAGTGCCCACCACCCAGTCACCCCCACCCCCCGCCCACGTCCCCTTCCACCACCCCTAGTTCGTTTCCCAGAGTTAGGAGTCTTTCATGTTGTGTCTCCCTTTCTCATATTTCCCACTTATGTTTTCTCCTTGTTGACTGTTTCTTTTGCTGTGCAGAAGCTTCTTATCTTGAGGAATACTGAGGTGGGCACTTGACAGGATGAGTACTGGGTGTCATTTTATATGTTGGCGAATTGAACACCAATAAAAAATTAACTTAAAATAAAAAATAAAATAAAATAAATGAAGTCACAATAATTCATTTTGCTTTTGTTTCTCTTGCCTTCATGGATGTATCTTGCAAGAAGTTGCTGTGGCCAAGTTCAAAGAGGGTGTTGCCTGTTTTCTCCTCTAGGATTTTTTGGATTCTTGTCTATATACACTCTATATTATACAGTGTATATATATTTTTTATTGAAGTTCAAATTGCCAATATATAGTGTAACACCCAGTGCTCATCCCGTCAAGTGCCCCCCTCAGTGCATGTCACCAATTTAAATTTTTTAATTCAATTTAATTAATGCATGTATATTATTAGTTTCAGGGGTAGAATTAAGTGATCAATCACTTGCATATAACACCCAGTGCTCATTACATCAAGTGCCCTCCTTAATTAAAAATAGACCTGCCCTACGACCCAGCAATTGCACTGTTAGGGATTTACCCCAAAGATTCAGATGCAATGAAACGCCGGGACACCTGCACCCCAATGTTTCTAGCAGCCATGTCCACAATAGCCAAAAACTGTGGAAGGAGCCTCGGTGCCCATCGAAAGATGAATGGATAAAGAAGATGTGGTTTATGTATACAATGGAATATTACTCAGCCATTAGAAATGACAAATATGAATGGGTGACGGGCCCTGAGGGGGACACTTGACGGGATGAGCACTGGGTGTTATTCTGTATGTTGGTAAACTGAACACCAATAAAAATTAATTTATTAAAAAAAAAGAAATGACAAATACCCACCATTTGCTTCAACGTGGATGGAACTGGAGGGTATTATGCTGAGTGAAATAAGTCAATCGGAGAAGGACAAACAGTGTATGTTCTCATTCATTTGGGGAATATGAATAATAGTGAAAGGGAATATAAGGGAAGGGAGAAGAAATGTGTGGGAAATATCAGAAAGGGAGACAGAACATAAAGACTCCTAACTCTGGGAAACAAACTAGGGGTGGTGGAAGGGGAGGAGGGCGGGGGGTGGGGGTGAATGGGTGACGGGCACTGAAGGGGACACTTCACGGGATGAGCACTGGGTGTTATTCTGTATGTTGGTAAATTGAACACCAATAAAAATTAATTTATTAAAAAAAAGTGCCCTCCTTAATGCCCATCACCCAATTACTGCATCTCCTTCCCTCCCCTCCAGCCACCTGTTTGCCTCCTATAGTTAAGATTCTCTTATGTTTGCCTCTTTCTCTGTTTTTATCTAATTTGTCTTTCCTTCCCTTCCCCTCTGTTCATCTGTTTTGTTTCTTAATAGAAATATGCAAGTAATTTCTTTTTTTAAAATTTTTTTATTTACTTATGATAGTCACACCCAAAGAGAGAAAGAGAGGCTGAGACACAGGCAGAGGGAGAAGCAGGCTCCATGCACTGGGAGCCCGACGTGGGATTCGATCCCGGGTCTCCAGGATCGCGCCCTGGGCCAAAGGCAGGCGCCAAACCACTGCGCCACCCAGGGATCCCATGCAAGTAATTTCTAAACTGTAGGGATACTTTTATATTTCCTAAAGAAATCTTTATCAATCCTTTAATGTAAAATGGGAGAAGACTAGGAACTAACCATGAAGAATTATAAAAACTCAATTTCTGCCCTCTAGGAAGTTTCCACTTAAATTGTCCATATTTGTTAGGCTAAATATTCAGTTACAGTGCCCAGCAATAAAACAAGTTATAACCAAAAAGATTTAAGAAATAGGTAAATTTAATTTAAAACTTTGAAAATTATTAATAATGACAGTAATATCTATGCCTTGCTTCTTCGTGAGACTTTAGATTTACATGTCGTGATCCCTATGAGGTAGTATAGGTGTCATGATTCTCTCTTTTTTTAAGATTTTATTTATTCATTCATGAGAGACACAGAGTGAGAGAAAGAGGCAGAGACATAGGCAGAGGAAGAAGCAGGCTCCATGCAGGAAGCCCGACATTGGACTTGATCCCAGGCTTCCAGGATCACAACCTGGGCCAAAGGCAGCGCCAAACCACTGAGCCACCCGGGCTGCCCATGATTCTGTTTTATTGAGGAAACAAACAGAGGGAGTGACTTACCAATGTAATGCAACCAAGTAGTGGCAACACCAAGCACCAGGTGTCATTGTGCTCAGTGCAGGCTGCCAATCCTGCAATGGTCCAGCCCCTTCCTCAGGGCCCCCATCACTTCTTGGTTTCTTAAGCTATAAATGAGGGGGTTGAGCATAGGAGTAAGGACTGTGTAGAAGACAGAGACCGCCTTGTCATGACTAGGGGCCCGGTAGCGCCGAGGCCTCAGGTAGATGAACATGGCTGCCCCATAGAAGAGGGATACAGCTGTCAGGTGGGAGGAACAGGTGGCCAGGGCCTTTTTACGGGCCTGAGCAGAGCACATGTGGAGCACAGCCCTCAGGATATGGGCATAGGAGGCCACAATAATGGAGAAGGGAAGAAGCAGCATAAAGACACAGCAAGCAAAGAGCAGAGTGTCAAAAAGGGATGTGTCTGTACAGGCCAGTTTTAATAAAGCTGGCACCTCACAGAAGAAATGATCCACAATCCTTGAGCCACAGTAAGGTAAGCTCATGGCTGCCACCATCTGGATAATTCCATCTAGTATCCCAAAGGCCCAGGAACTCCCAGCAAACTTGAGACAGACCTTCTGACTCATGAGGATAGGATAGTGAAGTGGGTGGCTAATGGCCACATAGCGATCATAAGCCATGAGTCCCAGCAAGAGCCCCTCAGATCCCACAAGAGAGACAAAAAAGCCAATTTGTATGCCACAACCCACAAAGGAGATGGATTTCCTGCCAGACAGGAAGTTGACCGCCATCTTTGGCACATTTGCACAGACCAACATGAGGTCCATGAGAGAGAGCTGACTGAGGAAGAAATACATGGGTGTGTGAAGCCGAGGATCTATGTAGATGAGGAAGAGGAGGAGAACATTCCCACAGAGGGCCACTGTGAAGACCACCATAACCACAGAGAATAGGACAAGATCAGTCTGGCTATGGGAAAAGATGCCCAAGAGGATGAAGCCATCTATAGATGTTCGGTTCAACCATATCTCCATGGCCCAGTTGTTCACCGTCACCTGAGAACATGAATAGAGAAATTCTGAGATTGAGTGGCATGTCTTTATTTATCTCTGACTTCTTCTTCAGTCAGTTGTATCTTTTGTAATTCATCACAGCTGAACAACATGTGCTTTTGTACATAAAAAAGAGTGCTCTTTCATGTTCCTGTGACATGGATTATAGGCTATTTGCTAGATCATAGAATTGGGCTACATATCTATATTTGCATATGTTCATATAAAAAATAATAGGAACTGAATTATTTTATGTGTCATAGGATTGGGCAATCCTCCTTTAGCAGGAAAATATTGGTTTTCCTTATATGGCATGATTCTTTTTAGCTGGGATAATCCAGACTCAAGAAACTATCTCCAATAGGAATGGGGCTATTTCATGTCCAAGAGATAATTTACATGTGTTAACAATAAGGGAAATTAACAGAGACTTGAGATGTTCTTATTTTGCTCAGGCCTAACATCTTGGAATCATTTAAAATTTTTCTATGTCTCTAGTTCCCTAGATCTAGACCATCAGAAAAGCCTTTTGGTTCTACATTCAGAATACTCAGAATCCAATTGATTCCCATCATCCCATTGCAAGTGCTCTGGTCCAAGCCACTATCCTGTCTCAGATGGATTATTATAGGCTCTTTCCCAGTTTTCTGGCTTCTGTCCTTAAATATTTTGAGTCTATTCTTGTAGCAATTTAAATGAATCTTTAAAAATATGTCACATGATATAACTCTCTTGCTGATAGTATGTCCATGTCTACTAAAATTACTCCAAATAGAAATGATTCCTTGCAGTGGCAAGGCTCTATGTATATCACACACACACACACACACACACACACACACACACACACCAGTATCTCCAACCTCATCTCCTACCATGCCCCCCTTTGCTCACTGTGCTTCCTTGAATTTTCTTGGACAAACTGGATACACTCCCACCTTTGGGATTTTGTTGTTTACTTCTCTTTGGAATGTTCTCTCCCCAGACTTCTCTCACCTGCTTCAGATATTTACTCAAATGTCTACCTCCATAGAGATGACTTCTGTGAAGGTCATATTAAGACTAAAACTGTCTTGGAAAAAAAAAAACTGTCTTGCACTCACAAGCCTTTCCTTGCTCTTGTTTTTTCCCATAGCACTTACATCATTTAACACACATTGCTTACATTTCTCTACTTTTATGGTCTGTCTCATCCCACTGGAACATAGGCACCATTTATTATTCACAGTGAAATTGGCAGATTCTAGAATGGTTTCCCAGGTCATAGTATAACCTCAATACATATGTGGTGACTGAATAATACATGATGAAGTGATATAAGACTGAAATTTTCATTTTCAGTCTTCAGAAAGACTCCTCTTTTAATTGCAGGAGCACTGTTCTTGACCTGAATGTACTAGTTCACTATGGAGATCCTTCCTCTAAGGGTGAGTGATCTAGTAAGAAATATCTCAGGTATTTTTAAAAGATAAAGATTTTTCCATGAATGCATGATAGCAGCATCTAGCAGTTGTTTATGTGGGGTGTATTAATATCTACCTTACCTCCCTACAAAGAGGAAATGAGACAACCCCATAGGACATGCTCTCTGTGTAAAGACTTGGTAATTTCCTAAACTAGATGGGGCCTACATAGATTCACCACCAGGAAGGCAGGCTTCCATGAGCTGTACCTACATAATGGACTATGGTCTGGCTTGTACCCACCAAGATGTGCCCAAGTATCCTTGCCACGACTAACATCCAGATGCGATGTTGGGGAGGGCTGTTCTACAAGAGTAAACCACTGTTCCCATAGCCTTCAAATACCATTTGGGATATATTAGCTCCAGATTGAACCAATAAACTGAACAAACCAAGTCCCCCAGACCACACATCAGAAGTTCTTCCTCCTGTGCTGAGGACAACCAACCTTACCAACTGTGTGCAGAGGCATTCAGCCACATGCATCTTCAAAGAGATTCACTCCATACCTTTCCTTCCTCCCAAGTTTTATAATACAATACTACCTAGTTGATTAATGACATTTCTCGCCCTTCCTGGACAGCTCCTCTGAACTCTGATTCTTTTTTTTTAATAAATTAATTTTTATTGGTGTTCAATTTACCAACATCATACAGAATAACACCCAGTGCTCATCCCGTCAAGTGTGAACTCTGATTCTTGTATCTGCTTATATTCAACACCTCCATTGGATGTCCAATGAGCTTTTCCTACCTAAACTGACCACAGAACCCTTGGTCTCCCCTGCAGAAATATCTGTTTTCCTCTCTTCCCAGCTCAACTTATGGTATCTCTGTCAGTAGCCCAAGATGCAAAACATGAGGTGTCCTTGAATCCTCTCTTCTCACACACATCCTATCAGAACCCCTGCTGGCTCTTCCTGAAGAATGTAATCACTTCTGTCCACATCTCATTCCTGCAGGTCCCAGCTGACTATGCTGTCATTGCTGTTTCCCTAGATGATAGCAATGGCTCTTAATTGTATTTGCCTCTCCCTCTGTCCTTGTTCCCACCCTAGTCTATGTACATAGTACTAGAGTGAAGTTGTTTCTGTAAAATAAAAGATGAAATCGTTTAAGAATAAAGGAAGACTCATCTAGCTAGCCCTCCATCATCACCCAGACCTCCTTTTCTTTTGCTTTCCCTGGAATTTCCCCTACTCTGGTGTCACTGGCCTCCCTGCATTTCAGGACGAGGTGGTACACGCCCTAACTTCCTCATGGGAGGCTCTTCCCAGATATGGTCAACATCGTTCCCTCACCTTCTTCTCACCTACTCAACCAGGTCTTACTCAACACCTATTTGGAGTTGAAATCTTTCTTTCCTGCCCTTGTGCTTCTCAGAACACTTAACACCATCAGGCATGCCACATTTAATTCACATGGATTTGTTTTCTACTTTCCCAGCTAGAACCTATAATGTATACATGCACATATTTTACTCTCAGTAAATGTTGTTGAATGATTAACTATAATATGCAAACAACTCCTTCTGCCTCTCTTTCGCTAGCACTTCTTTCCACTTATTCTTTGCCTTTCTGCTTTAGATCATTCTCTAACCCAGGAACCTATCACTGAGTCCCCTAATCCAGACAGAGGGATAAAGAAATAGATCAAAAGAAGGGGAATAGAAAAAAGATCAGAAAGAGGCACAATACTAGAAAGAATATACTAAAGCCCTTTTTCCCCTCCCAAAAAGAAAACCTGAAGGAGACCGACAATAGGAGGAAGATGAAATGCTGATAAACAGAAATAGAGAAATTACCTGTAATCAGTAATAGAAACTGCAAGGAAGAGGTAAGGATGTGATAGAGAAACCCTCACTCACCTTTGAGTGGGATCTCTGAAAGAAAAAACCCAGCAGATATCCTGTGGAGGAATTTCTAACAGCAAAATAACTTCATTGTCCTTCCTTGGGTTTGTACTTGCGGGGTCAGAAGAGAGAAGGAGGAGCCCTCAAGCTCACTTCCCCAGCCCCCCAATCACCTTTCAAACAGGCTACCAAAGTTCTTGTCACCATTAGCCCTCCTGAGGCTCTCTATCTCAGACAGTAAGGCTCAGATAGACAACAGCTTCTTCTTAGCAAAAGGGAAAAGAAAGAAAGGAGAGTTAGTCAAGGAGATGGTGGTGGGCATGTGGCCACAGAACCAGCACCTGTGCATCCAGTCCACCCACAGACACCCATCCACCTTCCACAAGCTGCCTCTAGCTCAGATTTCAGCTGTCTCCCACTGCCCATGCAGGCACTTAACACTGAACCTGAACAAGGAGGGTGAAGCTGATCACTCCCAGGGGAACTCACAAGCCAGTTCTGGAACAGTTCCCAAGCTCACAATTAAAAAAAACCCAAATGGGGAGCTTGGGAACAAGACTAGATAAGGGCCAGCTGCGATAGTGTGAGGAAATTTGGTCAGGGGAGGGAAGCTGCTTTTGATGCTCTATCTCCAACTGCAGACCTATACTTCCCTAGTGACTCTGAGGGCCCTCACAGGTCTCCATCTGTGGCTGTACCTGTGCCACGCAATCCACACCTGTTCTTTACCTGTCCTATGAAGTCAGCCTATATTTATCGAAGCCCATGATACACAGAATGATAGGTGAGATATTATACTTGAATGGGGACTTAACATAATCTGGCCTTATGGACATTATACCCCAGTGTGAAGGAAAGAAGAGTACCCACATTCAGGAGAATAAGATGGTGGGAGGGAGCTGGTTGTCATCCCCAAACTGTCAGATGTTTTCCTAAAGTCAGTGCCTTTCATAGTTTGCTGTGGATAGCCCTATGGTCTACAGATACTATGCCTGTCTTCCCAGTGTAATCATGGACAGCACTCTCTTACCATCTGAGAGTATCCCAGGTTGGATGATAATTTTACACTCACACTGTTTTTGGCCTTATTACCATAAAAGCAAGTCAATTTTCCAAATGGCCAATTCATTGGAAACTAATTGGCTAAATGACTAATTTATCTCTTGAGTCTTTAGTTTTATTTGACTGCTTTTAATTTATTTTCACAATAGCAAAAAAAAATGTTTTATCTACCATACAAAGCTCTTGAGGCTTTGGAATCTGATGCACAGAGAAGAGAGATTGAATCAGGGGGCTAGTAGAAAGGGGATTGATGGGAGATGTTAGAAGACACCAAGAGGTGCAGATAGAGGCACTTAGAAAAAATAGGCCTGCTGCCAAACATTCTAGGCACATTCAAATTGTCTTTTGAATAAACTATCTATAGTCATCTCACCCTCTTATTTTCCAGATTCCTTTTCTACTTATTATCTACTACCCACTGATCTCTCTGGTTTCAATAGTTAACTGAAGAATTCCTACCTCCACATTCTTGTTCAAGTTATTGTCCCATCGGAACTTAGTTTGTCAGCTTTGAATTTCCTATTGAAACTTCATTCTGTAAAGACTCATCTAAAGCTCATTGTTACTATTCTCACCTTCCACAGATTCAATCCACACCATTTCAGC